CCTCGGAGTGAATGACCTTCAACGTCGCTTTAAAGTCGGCAGAAAGATTGAGCGACGGAAGTGTCAGTGCTTGCTCCAACTTCGCACTCAAGTGCTCAAGTTCATCCTTGTGTCTGCGGCACTAGCCCTTCCAATGTTCATATCCATGAAGGATACGTACTCAAATACCAACTCCTTCAAGAATTTCAAATCCTCTTCTGAAGAAGTAGCAGGACAATCAGATGGAGCAGGGCGAGGCATTTGGACCTGCCCCCAGGAAGCGAACAAGTCTTGGATAGAACGCACAATCCTATCAGCATCCTGCAAAGAAGACTGCCAATATTGAAAATCCTCACTACAACGAACAAGGTGGAAATAGAAGCGAAACAAAAAACTACCTCGTCGACAATCGTAGAAGATGGCGCGCCCTCAGCCAAGCTTGCCACCAACGACTCATCCATTCGTGAGGACTTCCCCTTGTCCGAGCGAGAAGATGTTGCCACAACAGGCGGACTCATGGGAGTATCTGCAAAGCTCAAGAGCAACAAATCAGAAACCAATAGCACGAGCAAAGGTAAGACATCAAAAAACTGAATTACCTTCTGCTTCGATGTTTGGGAGGTCGACGCCCTGGGAAGAAAGTGGCTCATCCATGGGTTGTGATGAAAACTGTGGGACTGAAGATGTATCTTTAAGCATGGTCCCCTCATCAACTGGTTTGGATGAAGTAGCGTCAACAGAGGATGATGGAGCAGGAGTTGTAGATGCCAAAACCTTTGAAGGAGAGGCTGAGCTTTTCTGAAAAGTCCAAAAGATCATCAATACACAGAAAAGTTTCAAATGTGGGAAAGCATGTTGGTAAGTAGACCAATTTAATTACCTTCCTCCTAACGATAAGAGGGGCATCATCATCATCAACATCATCCTCCAGAATGGGAGATGCTGAGGCTGGCCGTTTGCGGCTTGGAGCACTCTTGGCCGTAGTAGGCCTGGCAGGGAGAGAAGAAGATGGATGAGCCGATTGTTCAGTGCGACGAGAAGGAGAGGGGCTCCGAATAGACAAAGGAGTGACCAAAACAGGAGGAGGAGAAGAAATACTCGGTTGGTCTAATGAATGAAAGGCACGATTGGCCTCAGTCGCAAATAATCTGCGCTTCACCGATGGCCAGAGTTGTTCAAAAAGAGGGTGAGTGGCATGACAAGAATTAAAAGGAACTAATGAAAAGTGGCTTGATAAATGGAGGTTGCGAGCGTTTATAGCCTCTGCTTCCACCTTATTAATAGTATGAAAACGGTCAATTAAGTTCTTCGAGTAGCAAAGAGGAATAGGCCAAGTTTGGCCAAAACCAAGCTGGCGAGCAAAAAATTGGGGAGCATAAATTTCTACCCCCGCTTTGGCATTGGTCCCAGTTAAGATATCATGGAAAAGCTCCCTCCCGGTTAAAAACTGGATCCAAATAAGCAGAGAGGTGCTCGCGCTATCCATAGTGGAAGGGGGATGTACATAGTTTGGAGTCAAGAAAGGAGAAAATGGAAAAAAGGAAGAGATTGAATCTAAAGAATAAAAGAAAGAAAAAATGTCCCTTCTGGACATAGTTACAGGAGTTAGGGGCTCCATAGCTAACCCGTAACAGCTAGCAGAAGGACAAGAAATGGATGGAGCACCAAGCGATGGAAAATAGGATCTCAACCACAGTTGAGTAAACCAAAGAGGTCCACTGCCAGTGGGAGATGCACCATTCTTCAATTGAGCTTGAAGAGAGGCCATGCCTCTATAAAGGGCAGCAAAAAACAAAGAACATAAATTCAAAGGCCTGCCACGCGCCAATTCGTGCGCTATGGGTAAATAACTCAGAGAAGGCTTTATACTTGGCACGCACAACACATATTTACAAAGCCAAACTAAAAGGAAGGTCACTCGCTCAGTATGGGTAGGCTCAGCACTCGAATGATTGTGGAGGGTCTGCAGGCTTGAATAAGAGTCGGTATAGTTTTTACCAAACTGTGGGGCGCCACCAGAAACTAAGATACCCGGGAAAATGGTATCGCCCAAAGGTGGTAAATTCACCAGGGCCCCAACATCCCTTAACGTAATAGACATGGGGCCAAGAGGAAAAATAAAGGTGTTATACTCAGGGGACCAAAAACTCAAAGCAATCGAAAAGAGCGCTGAATCAAAAGTAGGGGGCGAATAGAGACTTCTAACAAATCAGAAATCCTAGCGCTATCAAAAAGTGCCTTAGTAGGACCATGGCCCACAAGGCGAGCATGCCACCTACGAAAAGCGACATCAGATTTAGGCCAAGTGCGAATACCTCTTTCGCGAAGTGGCCCCAACGGTAGAGAGTTCAGGAATGGAGGACCCTGAGTGCAGGGAAATAGCTGACCCACCGTCGCCTGTTCAACTGCCTCTGCATTGTTGAAAAAAGGACCCAAATAGAACTCATTACGTACAACGTCGGCGGGTGCGAGAAAACTTGGGGTTATGTATGGACGACTCAGAAGTTTCTGAAAGTCATCAAAACTAAAGGAGTCGCTAGCCTGAGATTGTGAAGCAGCCATTGGAGAAGGAACGAAGCTCTTCAGGGTTACGTAACAAGGAAGCAAAAGATGAACAGTGAATCGTGAAAGAGACGCAAAAAATATGAGGCGTGGTTTGGTAGCAGTGAAATGGCGTGTTTGGGGTTTATAAGGGTCTGCAAAACGACGCACCTTTTCAAATTATAGAAGGAAACAATGATTTAAATTCTTGGGAACTTCGAACGTTGCTGGAAACATGAAGTGAATATGGCAAAATTCAATAATTATTATTAATTCTACCATATTGGGGGATAATTGTTGACACATAAAAATTCAACCCAAATCGAACAGCCCAAGGAGTAAAGCCCAATTGGAGGATCCCCAAATCAGATAGCCCAAAGAACGAAATCCAATCGAACGAATCAAGGTGAAGGCCCAAATAAGGGGGCCCAAGAATGCGGTAACGCCATCGCCCAAATTTGCAAGTCGCCCAGAATCTGAACGAATAGAGTGTCATACGGTCGCCCAGAGCTGTTATTCTATTCTCGTCCAAACCTTCAAGTCGCCCAAGGTATCGACAGACATAACGCATTGTGGTTATCAAGAAATTCAGTTATCAAGGCAGTTGTTAAAGTAGCCCTGTCACGTTCCACGACTCAAGGAATTCAATCGAAAGCGGTTGAACGATGAAAGGTAATGGCAGCAGTTAAAAGGCAGTTTCATGACAAAATGACCACTACGAAGAAAGTGGGTAGTTATAGGACGATCAAGCAGTTTTTAGAGTAGTTAATCGCAAAGAGATCGTCTATGAGGTATAAAAGGGAGAAAGAACATAAAAGGAAGGGACCGAATCCAAAACTCTCGAACAGAGAATATGTAATTTTCATTTCCTTAGTTTTTAGACTTAAACACTTTTCTTTCTGTAACTCGTGTGCTTGCGCCCCTTGGAGGCACGTTGTTTTTCATTCCCAATTGTAAAGTTTATCGCCAATAAAAGAACACCCCTTTTTGGGACTTTGTCTCAAGAGGTTTCGTCCCTTACACAATCGTCTGATCCTTTTTAATTGTTAGCGACTTAACCCGCGCGAAACACATACAATTCTTGACATATCTGAACGATGCTGTATTAGCAGCCCTTGGCAGAGCAACATCCAACACCGTCAAAGTATAATTGTCTCCATATAAGAGAATATGACGACCTCAAGTCAAATGACCAATCTCACTATCGAACGTTAGAGATTAACCACTGACACTCAAATAGTTATCCACGTGGAATCTCTCAACGGGTCTCCAATATTTTGTTTTATAACAAAACATCAACGTATTCATTCAAGTGTTACCACACTTTAGTTTGTGAGATCAACTACTTACTTCATAAGAATGTCATATGTGATGGCCTGTCCGTAATAACAATATCCGTATCTCGTCATTACTTACGATCACGGATAATTTAAGATTCAATCATATCTAATTTGTATCTCATAATCACAACTCCTTGTGATTAACAAATTACTAAGATTTAAACCTACGGACTCCATTATTTAATTCAATTGAATATTAATTAATTAAATTATGGATCTGCCATAAATCGTATCAACTATATATTAAAAGTGTTTATATTCGAAGTCGATTGAATTTAGGGCATAACATTTACATAAACAACCACCAACAAACCACCCCCGCTAAGCAGATCGAAGATGAAGAAAATACCAAACGCACAAAAAAAATTGGCATAGCTGCGTTTTTTGCCAAATCCACCATAAAAATCACACAAATGCTACTATGCGTGGTCGCAGCGTCCATCACGAATTCTCGCACTGTGCTGCTTCACATTCACTGATCTGTAGCAACGCGGAGGAAAGAATGAATATCGGCACTCCACGAAGGAAAGCAGATCTGCAAGAGCGGCACGGGTAGAGGATCCTCGCGATTGCTGGAATTGAGAGAGAGAGAGAGAGAAGTTTGTAAAATGATTTAGAGTTTGAGAGTTAAATTAGGTGGGGGTGGAAATGTAGATTAATTAAATTTTATAATATTATTATAAAGATTTAAAGATTGAATTATTCCCTAATTTTTTAATTAAAAGTTTTTAAATTTGATTTTTAAATTGAGGAGTTAAAAAACATGTGTGGATGTAATTTTCACTTTTCTATCCGTCTTACTTTTACTGATTTTGAGGTACCGAAAAATTAAAATCATTCATAAAATTCTTTTATTACCAAAATTTTCTCAAAATCGAAATTCAAAATAATGCAAATAATCATCAACAACTGGAAATTATAACTCCAATTGATGATTTTGAGTGTAAATTATAATTCGAAGTTGCATTGAAGTTTCATCTGAGTCCCAAGTGAAAATAACATACTTTGATTTTAAATATAATTTGCAATTTGGTGCCGTGAGTGCAATTTGAAGTGGCATTAAAGTGTCAATTGGGTCACAACTCGAATTTGTAGGCATCCATTTCAGTCAAAACTTGGAATTATGTCTATGCAAAATAAATTTGGAATTCTGAATCTCAGAAATAAGGTAATAATAAATGCAGACCTAATTTACCACGCAAGGGTATTAGGCTACAGCGCTCCCATTAGAAAAATTGGGTTTTTCCGGCAGGTGCACGAAATATTCGTGTCTCACGCTCATTACAGTGACACGTAATCACCGGTGCCCTAGGGAGAAATCATCTACATCCCTGCTGCATCAGGCAGAAGCTCTGAAATGAGAAGCAGAGGATGAAGAAGTACTTTCTGGTTCGGGCCATGACTGAGGCCCAAGCCCGAAACGGAACCCAATTATTCCCATCCAACCGCTCTCTATGCACTTCTTCCAATTCTTCCGACTTGGCGCTAAAGAATGTGACGAAGTCCAACTTCGAACCGGCGCTAGCCGAGCTTCGGAGTCACGTTAGGGAAGCCGACTTCGTGTCTATCGACTTGGAGATGACGGGGGTTACAAGTGCCCCATGGCGAGAGTCATTCGAGTTCGACCGGTCCGATATCCGGTACCTCAAGGTCAAAGACTCCGCCGAGAAATTCGCTGTCGTACAGTTCGGTGTCTGCCCCTTTCGCTGGGACTCGAAGAATCACTCTTTCATTGCTCATCCGTAAGTTTGTGCGCGCGCGCGCTCTTAATCATGATGCTATAAGAATAGCGGGCAGTGGAGGAATGCACAGGACTTGAGGGCGAGAGGGAAAATGAAAGGGTCTAAGGAATGAGATAAAGAAGAGTGGATTTCTTGAAAAAGGACGAGAGCTTGGTGATGGCGGCCTGTTGTTGTTAATCCAACCTGCAACCACACAACAAATGTTAATGAAGGATTAAATCAAATAAATGTAATGGAATTCAAGAAACCAAAATGAAGCAGTGAACTAAATGAAATGCAGAAACTGAAACTTAATGTAAGAAAATGAAACGAAATCCCCCTTTTTAAATCCGGCTCAGAAATCTTCGACCCAACACCACAAAGGTAACTTCAATTGGGAGACTTTTTCATTCACGAAGAAGAAAAGGCACACAAAGGCACACCACAAAGGTCGACTTCGGTTTTCACAGAGAAGGAAGTCTCTTTATTCTTTTGTAGAAAAGTTCTCACTCTAAGAAGAAGAAGGCAGCCAGCTTCTCTCTCTTTTTAAATTGGTTGAGTTTTTTGGATATATAAAACTCTTGTATATTATCACGAGGGAAATCAAATCTCCAAGATAACAGGGAAGTTTAAATTTGAGTCCAACAGAAATAGTAGGGATAGGATAATTATCACGAGATAATTATTTGCAACCAATTCTATCTTTTGTGATTTCATTTATCTCCATAGTCGGGTATTGAGCATCTAGCCCAATGGGCTGATTTCCTCCAAATACCCAACACAATTAGGTTACATCAATTGTGGTGTGGGTCCAATATGTTCTTCAATATTAGGTTTATAGCCTATGAAGTTAAACTGACCTCGATTTTCATCATTGCCTAGGGGATTTGGGTATCACTTACCAAAAAATACCCAACAATCTCCACCTTGATACCAAATCATCCTGCAAGTTAGATAAGATAACAAATAACTTAAAGAAAAAAGAACTTACAAGTTCGAACCAATGTTTAGAAGATCAAGCCAGCTTCTAAATTTTACTAATGGGAGCACTTTAGTTCCCATGTTTGCAGGATTATATTCTGAAAGGATTTTCTCAAGTTTTACCAGTTCTTGAGAAACCATATCTCTAATGAAATGCAATCTAACATCTATATGTTTAGTACGTTCATGAAAGACGAGATTTTTGCATAGGTGAATAGCAGATTGACTATCAGAATATATTGTCACATTGTTATCAAAAACACTAAGTTCATTTAATACACCTTTAAACCACAAAGATTCTTTAAAGGCTTCAGTAGCAGCAATATATTCTGATTTAGTAGTGGATAAAGCAACAACATGTTGAAGTTGAGATTTCCAACTAACACAAGAATTACACAAAGTAAACACATAGGAAGATGTAGATTTCCTATTATCTCTATCACCAGCATAATTAGCATCAGTAAATCCTTTCAATTTTATTTCTTCGTTACTAAACTTATATATCAAGCCAATATTGCATGTTCCTTTCAAATACCTAAACAGCCATTTCAAGGCTTCCCAATGTTTAGGACCAGGGTTGGACATATACCTGCTAAGTGTACTAACAACAAATGCTAAGTCAGGTCTAGTACACACCATTAAATACATCACAGAACCAATGGCATTGGTATAAGGAATATTTTTCATATATTCCTCTTCTTCTTCATTAGCAGGTGATTGTTCTTTAGATAATACAAAGTGATTAGTTAAAGGCAATGTAATAGGATTGCAATCATTCATGCCAAATTTTTTCAAGATTTTCATGATGTATGGAGTCTGATGCAAAGATAAAATTGAATTAGACCTATCTCTTTGGATTTCCATGCCTAAAATTCTTTTAGCATTACCAAGGTCTTTCATATCAAATTCATTACTCAAAGTCATTTTTATATCATTTAACAATTTCAAGTTGGGACCAATTAAAAGCATATCGTCCACGTATAGCAATAAAAACACACAGTTATCATTTTTAGCATTTCCTTGATAGTATAAGCAATGATCAAATTCACTCCTTTTAAAACCAACAGTTTTAACAAAAGAATCAAAACGTTTGTACCATTGTCTGGGAGATTGTTTTAAATCATACAGAGAGCGTTTAAGAAAGCACACATGATCAGATTTTTGTTTATTTTCAAAACCTTTAGGCTGATCCATAAAAATCTTTTCATCAAGTTCACCATGCAAAAAAGCAGTTTTAATGTCAAGTTGTTCAAGTCCCCAATTAAAATGTGCAACTAATGCAAGCATAGTCCTAATTGTGGTATACTTAACAACTGGAGAAAAGATCTCATTATAATCTATCCCTTCCTTTTGTGTGTATCCTTTGGCTACAAGTCTAGCCTTAAACCTTAAACTCTCTCCTTTGGTAATTCCCTCCTTAATTTTAAAGACCCATTTACACCTAATAATAGACTTGTTTTTAGGTCTTGGGACTAATTCCCATGTTTGATTCTTATCGAGGGAACTTATCTCTTCTTTCATCGCTTTCACCCAATCCTCAGATTGTTCACTCCTCAAGGCTTCTTCATACGTGTTTGGTTCCCTATCAACTAGTTCTTCATAACTAGCATAAGCAAGTTCAAAATCAGACTCTAACCTTTGAGGCACCCTATATGTTCTTCTAATTCTGTCTCTAGCTAACTGGTAATCAGAGAAAGGGTTTTGCTCCTCTTGATATTCATCTATAACCTCATTTCTCTCAATATGTTCATCCTGATTATCTTCTAGTTCAAGATTTTGATGCTCCACCTCAATTGAGGTGTTGGGGGTTTTATCACTTAAAGACCTTAAATCTTCATGAGATTCATCACTAGTGTTTTCTTGCTGTTTTTCTCTCAAGGTGTCACTATCTAGTTTTAAACATGGCATTTCAGACTCATTAAATGTAACATCACGACTTACGATGATCTTAACTCCAGTTTGACTTCTATCCCAAAGCCTATACCCTTTAACTCCTTCAGGGTATCCTAAGAAAACACATTTCCTAGCTCTAGGTTCTAGTTTTCCCTCGTTTTGATGAGAGAAAACAGCACAGCCAAATGTTTTTAACACAGTATAGTCAGCACATTTACCATACCATTTTTCATGTGGAGTGTCACCATTTAATGCAGTAGAAGGTGTCAAGTTAATTAAGTAACACGCAGTCATAACAGATTCACCCCAAAAAGATTTAGGAATACCAGAACTCAACATCATACATCTAACTTTATCAAGTAAAGTACGATTCATACGTTCAGCCACACCGTTCTGTTGAGGTGTATAAGGAACAGTCTTATGTCTAGTAATTCCACATTTTTCACACATATCATCAAAATCTTTATTACAAAATTCTAGGCCATTATCAGTTCTTAAATATTTTATCTTTTTGCCAGTTTGAGTTTCAACTTGCAATTTCCATAATTTGAAAAACTTAAAAGTTTCAGTTTTATCCTTTAACAGATAAACCCACACTCTACAAGAAAAATCATCAATTATGGACAAAAAATATCTATTCCCATCCATTGTAGGATTAGTAGATGGCCCCCATAAATCAGTATGAATATATTCCAAAACTTTAGTAGTTTTGTGCATGCCAGATGAGAAAGACAATTTATGATGTTTTCCAAGAACACAGTGATTACAAAAAGGCATATTAGACACACAGTCATTTCTAAATACACCTTTATCATTTAGCAGTTTAAGTCCTTTAATACTTATGTGAGCTAATCTATTGTGCCACTTGTGTGTGTCATCTTTGTTGGTCAAATTTATAGAGGAAGATGAATTTTTAATAATTTCAGCAGCAGTCACATAAATACCATTTCTTTTAATACCTTTACATGTGACAAGAGCACCCTTAATCATTTTCAGCATGTTGTTTCCAATTTTACCAGAAAAACCATCAGTTTCTAATGCTCCTACTGAAGTAAGATTCCTAGCCATTTCAGGAATATATCTAACTCCATGTAATTTAAGCACATTACCAGTGTTAAATTTTAACGTGATATCACAAATTCCAGCAATTTTATATGCATGATTATTGCACAGAATAGCATGTCCACTTTCAGATTCTTGCAAGTTTTATGTGATGAAACATGAAACGATGCACCAGAATCAAGTATCCATTCATTTAAATGTGATTTCACAGTCAGATTTACTTCAGTAGGTTCAGAGTTCAATAACACATATATTTCACAACATTCATCAAACGAAGTAATAACATTTGCCTCATCGTGAACCTTTTCTTTTTGTTTGTTTTTCTCAACATAACAATCTTTAATAAAATGTCCAGTTTTACCGCACCCATAGCATTTTCTACCTTTAGATTTACCTTTTGACCTAGATAAACTTCTACTCTTCTTTTTACTACCGAATGCGTATCCACTTTGGTTATCATGAGTTCTAGACTGAGACCTACCTCTCATCATATGAACCTCACCACTTTTTCTCTCGACTCTTTCGGCTCGCAATTCCATATCTTTACTTCTTAACGAGTCTATGACAATTTCAGGTGTTAAAGTATCTCTCCCGTATTTAATAGCACTTTTAACCTCTCTATAAGTATTAGGTATAGCATTTAACAAAATGATAGCCTTATATTCTTCAGATACTTTTTCACCACAGTTATTGATAGCTTGCACAAGTTTATTGAAAATATCTAAATTGTCATCCAAATCTTTTGAAGAATCAATTTTGAAACTAAAAAAACTTTCAAGTAGAAAAAGTTTGTTTGGAGTGGACTTAGAAACATAAAGTTCCTCCAATTTTTCCCAAAGTTCTTGAGCTGATTTTAATTTACCAACTTTTCTTAATACCGCATCAGACAAGTGTAAAATTATAGAAGTATATGCCAATTCATCCAAATTTTCTTTTTCTTCATCAGTCAAAGTTGCAGGAAAAGAATCATCAATTGCTTTAGAAACTTTTTGTTGAACAAGAATGCCTTTCATTTTCTGTTGCCAAATTGAAAAATCTCCTTTACCATTAAAGACACCCAACTCAAAGTGATGTGTCGACATCTTACTCAAAAATGCACAGAACACAAAATTCGATATGTAAAAGATCACAGGTCACACAGATTACACAAAGTAACAAGAAATCCTATGGTTTCACAATAATACTCTATTTCTAGAACCTCAGGATTTCGTGAGAATCACGTTCTCAAGTCAAGGGAAGAAACTAGAATAGGAGTCCGGGTACAAGTCTAAATAATATGAGATTTAAAACGCAACAACGTTCAACAAATTCTAAACACAATAAATAATTTCACTTAGAAGTTAAACAAATATTGGCAAGTAATCCTAGATTCTAGCATCAAGCAATGGTTGCCAAGCAATGACAACCCCCAATCCTAATGATCACCCCACACGATGATCTGCTATTACGATAATTTAAAAGTTTCAGCCAATTTACCAGAGCGGACTTTTCTGAGTCCGTAAGCTACGAGAGATGCGAATTTACTGCTTTAGGACCGCAATCTTGGCCTAAAGTAATTCAGTAAATGTACTGCAGATCGGACCAGCGACCACCAAGGGCAAAATCGTCCAACTTTTTCTACGTAACCTGAAACAGAAAACTTTCAACACGAAAAATGTTAGAAATGACAAGAGGAACAAACTGCCTGAAGACAGTTTCGCCGGAATCGGCTCCACGCGCCTCCACGCGCCTCCACCGGAATCTCCACGCGCCGCCGCCTGAATCACGCGCCGAACACCCAGCACCGCCTTCGCCTGCACGTTTCAACCCCGGTCTCCGTTTCACCAATGGACTTCTGGATTGACGGGAAAACGCGTTTGCAGGTTCGGTTTTTAGTGTAAAAACTGGGCAGTCCGTTTTTTCTACTTTTCTGCCGGTTTCTGGTCGGTTTTTGGCCGGATTTTCACCACCACCAAGCTCTGATACCAATTTGTTGTTTTTAATCCAATCTGCAACCACACAACAAATATTAATGAAGGATTAAATCAAATAAATGTAATGGAATTCAAGAAACCAAAATGAAGCAGTGAACTAAATGAAATGCAGAAACTGAAACTTAATGTAAGAAAATGAAACGAAATCCCCCTTTTTAAATCCGGCTCAGAAATCTTCGACCCAACACCACAAAGGTAACTTCAATTGGGAGACTTTTTCATTCACGAAGAAGAAAAGGCACACAAAGGCACACCACAAAGGTCGACTTCGGTTTTCACAGAGAAGGAAGTCTCTTTATTCTTTTGTAGAAAAGTTCTCACTCTAAGAAGAAGAAGGCAGCCAGCTTCTCTCTCTTTTTAAATTGGTTGAGTTTTTTGGATATATAAAACTCTTGTATATTATCACGAGGGAAATCAAATCTCCAAGATAACAGGGAAGTTTAAATTTGAGTCCAACAGAAATAGTAGGGATAGGATAATTATCACGAGATAATTATTTGCAACCAATTCTATCTTTTGTGATTTCATTTATCTCCATAGTCGGGTATTGAGCATCTAGCCCAATGGGCTGATTTCCTCCAAATACCCAACACAATTAGGTTACATCAATTGTGGTGTGGGTCCAATATGTTCTTCAATATTAGGTTTATAGCCTATGAAGTTAAACTGGCCTCGATTTTCATCATTGCCTAGGGGATTTGGGTATCACTTACCAAAAAATACCCAACACCCTGATTGTAAAATGGAGCAGATAGTGCTGAAGTGTAAAGGACGTTATTTATTTGCGTGAACTAATAAAAGTACAATATGCTGGCATTTAAAATATTTTGACCACTGTGAATCGTGTGAACTAATAAAAGTACAATATGCAGATATGTAAATTTTTTTATCACTGTGAATCATGTAATCGTTAACACATTTGTAAGATGAGGATGATCAACGATCCTCATTAGATGGTCTTTTGAACTGTGTTGTATTTCTGTTTCTGTTTGCCTTAAGGCTCTAGGAAATAGATTTTACAAGCTTTATTGTCTTAAATTACTCATAAACTATTAAGTCAGATTTTGAAGACACTACATTTGTTCGCTTCAGGAAAACTCATAA